TTTTAAGACTAATGATGTAGAGTGGAAAATTGTTGTGCCCAAACCACAAAGGTCTGAAGTTATGAAGTCTTGTCATGAGCCACCTACGTGTGCTCACTTTGGATTTTCCAAAACTTTGTCCCGTATTCAGGAAAGATATTATTGGCCCCAGATGCGTGTTGATGTGCTTAAGTTTGTCAGGTCGTGTAAAGTTTGTGGTGCTCAGAAGACACCAAATTATGCTCCATTAGGTAAAATGGGTAAGCAGAGAGAGGCCAAGTTTCCTTGGAATAGTTGCAATAGATCTGATAGGTCCCTTTGTTCGTTCAAAGAAAGGTTATACGTGGTTATTAGTAGTAGCGGATTGGTTTAGTAAATATACTTTAGTCCAACCTTTGAGAAAGGCCACGGCTAAGAATATTGTTGAGTTTTTGGAAAATGATGTTTTCCTAATGTTTGGTGTTCCTCAATATGTGATTTGTGATAATGCCTCAAATCTGAACAATCCTCTCTTAATTGAGCTCTGTAATAGGTATAACGTTCAGAAAGTATGGTTTAGCCCAGTATATGCACCTCAGTGTAATTTTGTGGAGAGGAACAATAGAACCATTGGTACAGCAATACGTACGTATGTTAAAGACCACGTAGATTGGGATAAGAATTTAGCAAAGATCAGACAAGCTATTAACACTGCAAAGCATGAAGTGACTGGATATACTCCAGCTTTCCTGAATTATGGCCGTCATGTTCCTTTAAGTGGAAGTTATTATGGTGTTGATCATAAGGATCAACAGAATCAAGATATCGAGATAATTCCAGGTGACCGTAACATGTATGCTTCAGAAGTCAAAGGTTTAGATAAAGTTTTTGAAAAGGTTAAGGCTAATCTTCGAAAAGGATATGAACGTAACGCTAGGAGTTACAACTTACGTAGAAGAGAAGTCCAATTTCAAGTTGGTGATAAAGTTTGGAAAAGAAATAAGGTTGTGTCTTGTGCTGTCAACAAGTTTATGTCCAAACTAGCACCGAAGTATATTGAAGCAACTATCAAGGAAAAATTGTCACCAGTGGTTTATCGTTTGTCAGATTTAAATGGTTCAGATCTTGGTAAGTGGCACATTAAAGATTTAAAGCCTTTTGTGTTAGATGAGGACAATATGTCATGTTTAAGTAATTAGTTCATCCTATCCCATGTCAATATTTTTGAGTTTGTATGTTGATTTGATTTCATCCCTTAGGAGTATTGTTTCGCTTTTGATAATTTTAGTTCAGGTAACCTATTTTATTTGGGAGACACATGTGAGAATCACATTTTGTGATATGTAGGTATATAGATTTAGGGTCTATATCCTAATTTTTTTTTGTAGAACCGTTGCCGAATTCCCTGTCTCGCTAGGCGTATAGTGGAGATAGTAGACGCCTACCTGTTAAGTGTAGAGCAATTTTTTTGGATTTGTGTATAGCACTTGGTTTAGGCAACGAGGTGTCATGGCTATGCCTGCCCGACAAATCACTTGTGTTACTGCTGTGAATGTCAGCGAGGTTCACTGCAGGGCATAAGGTTAGCTTCCCCCAAGGCATAGAAACTCATGTCACCTACAGTTCATTTTAGAGTCAAACATTTCAGTCTACTCGACTTTAAAGAGTCTGGCGATCGATGGCACGCTAGCCCATTCTTTGTTACTAACTTTGTTTTTGTTGTTTAATCCCATGCTAGCCATCATCTAAAAGATATTATTAAGAAGTTTCGACTCAGTTAAGAGGTCATCTTCTGATTTGGTTTTTGTTGTTTTGCCTTTATCAAAAACTGGATAAAAATTATCCGAGTTTTTTCTTTTAAGAAGGGGCATTGTAGCGTTTTTTATTTAAAATGTATAGAAAAGTTTCTGTGGTACGTCCCTGTTGTTTTGGCCAAGAAATCGATCGATTTAATATAACTACGGAGAAGTTAAATGTAAATATTTCAAGTTTTTTTGACTAGATTTCTAAAATGCGTAATAACACTGGATATATTTTTTGTCTGTGTTTAGATTCAAATATCGAACCTTTTGTTATAAGTCAGGTAAAACTCAACTTTAAAATACGCACGTATTTTGTTAATTTGTATTATGTAAATTTATGATGCCCCCTGATAAAAAAAAGGTTTTATTTGTTTTCTTCGTTTAAAAACGAAATAAACATGAATTCCCCTAATATTATAGTTATTTTTCGTTATTGGACGAAGGTCAAAAAAAAGAATATTTGTTTGTTTAGGCAATAAAGGAACATTTAAAAGTTGGGTTTTTTTGTCGATACGAGCGAGGGGATATTGTTTTGGTTCTTGAGTTTGTGGGGACAGGTTAGCTGCAAGACGGAAGGGAAATTTTTGGAGTTTCTTGTAAAATGTAACGAAGCAAGAGAGTCGACATTTAAGTTCCAAGCAGGGCAGACGTGCTACAATGTAGAGTGGAAGAAAAGATTCGAATGGAGAAGACGTTTTGATTTGTCGGTAAAGAGACCGGCAAAATTGGTTGAGAATATTAGACTCTATGTAATATGTCAGTTTAGAAAAGAGTCACCACTATTTCTATTTTTTTCTTTGGAATACATTAGAAGATTTGTATAGATACCGTTTTGAAAAGTATTATATAGGATGTCCCTTAGCTTTGTTGTCGTTTTTCTTGTTTGATACAACCCATCTACGTCAGATCGGCGTTCCAAATTATGGAGATGGTCTTCTTTTGTTCCTGAGCATGGAAATGGTTCCCCTTGTTCGAGAGTTTCGTCCTTGCAGTTTCAGTACCAGAGATGTAGCAAGTTTCAAAGTTTAAATGCGAAATATGTAAATTTTAAGGTAACAATTCAATATATTAATTTTTCAAAGTAAAGACAGATATTTTTTGGCTAAAGTAATAATTGCTTTCATTCTTTGTCATCAAAATTAAATGTGATACCTGACAGCAAGCTTAATTTGTTTTTTTTTTTGTTGTGACAATTTTAATTTGATTATTATGTAGAAACGATATTTCATATATGCCTAAGGTTAAATTTATATGTTTTCATTAAGAAGGATCCTTAATTTTTGATAATCTAATTGGCCATAATATAGTAAACAAAGAACATGTAAGTTTTTGTTATTTGTATTATGTTATATGATATGTTTCTTTTATAATATGTATTTTTGATCTGTTTTGTTTGAGACAAGAATAAACGTTCAATTTGTTTCTCTGATCTATTTTGAGTTTTATTTGAAAAATATATTTTTTTCTATATTTTTGATGTTATACAATTATTTCCCTAGTTACAACTAGTGGTTGTAATAGGTATAATTGGGCACCTCAAGTGGCGCCCTATATTAATTTTCTTGAGGTGTTTCCGTTTATTTTCATTCTGTTTGTCCCAAGAGATTTGTATAAGTACCCCTTTATTTCTTTTTTTGTAGTTGCCCCAATCTAACCCCCAATATCTTCAACTTATCCACGACCCAGCTCTCCAACAACCAACTGAGTGTCGTATGCACTTGTTTCTATTATTTTGTTTGCCCAATATTGTCCCCCATATTCTTACCCTGTGGTAAGCAAAATAGTCGTTACAATAATAAATAATATAAAATAAACTTAATAAAATTTTTCAGAGAGGACAAAAAGGATGTTCGAAATAGCAGAGATGAAAAAAAAATAGAAAAATTGATGGTAAGACACCATGGGACGTACAGATATACGACATAGATGCAAGTTGGAGAACATCAAAAACTGGATAAGAAATAGAAGAGTAGAATGGAGCAATCATATAAGCCGAATGACAATAAATAGAATACGAAAACGATGGAATGACAACTTACTGGAGGCACATTGAAAAACAGACAGTCATGTCTATATAAAAAGAAGAAGAATAAAATTGTTACCACCAACACTGATGGCGTACAACAGAGTTAACCCTCGATAACGACCACCGTAATGGTCCTACTACTGGACTACTTACGTAAATATTGAAGACGTTTCGTGTATTAATTCATAAACATCATCAGTTCATCTACAAATTAGTTAAAAAACGTTTACAGAAAAAAAAAACTTGCTCATCGTTGTAATTTGAAAGTTTAAATTCAGCGTTTCGTAGGTATAATTCAAATACTTCATATTTGTCGCAAAAACTTAAAGTCAAATTTTCATGTTATAAGTTTTGAAAATTAGTCTCTAAAAATGGAAATTTCATATCAACGGAAGTGATACATTTTATTGATCTCATGAGTATGGTAAACAATGAAAAAAATAGCGCAATATTTATTTATATAACAGCTTTATAGAAACTGACTACATTTGCAGTAAAATTCAAAAATTAAGTCGAGTTGACGCAAATTTTATTTAAAAATTGATTTCGCTCGAGTAACTGACATTCAAAATCGCTGATAGCTTCAAGCGTTGTTTCTAAGAGAACCGTTTATTCTAAACTTATTTCTACACATTCTGCACAAATGCTTAAAAACAGTTTTAAATTATCTCAGTTGCATTTCTTGTTTGAAACATTTTTTATTACGGTGCGGTGTACAGATTCTTGGTAAATCGATATTTTCCGTCCCATCCCACGGGGGAAGCCTTGTGGAAATCTTTCTACCATTTTTTCGGGAGTCTCAAAATTGTAATTCTCAGCTTGTTCGTCTAGTTTTTAGAGATCAAATCTCTGGATGTAAATACAAACTTATAAAGATATGTGATTCGGAAAGCCGATCCCTGATGATAATTGTTTACGATAATGATGATAATTTTTAAAATAAGCTACTTTTATAGTTTATTCGTCTTCCGGGTTTGGACCGTGTAATTTGTGAGTGACCGAGATGGGCGAGATGAACCCACTTTTGGATCACTCACAAATGACACGGTCCAAACCCGGAAGACGAATAAACTATAATTCTGACTCTGGCCGTGGAAGCCTACGATTTCATTTAAGCTACTTTTGTTTTCTTAAGCATTTTTTAAACAGCATTTTTTGTTCAAATACATTTATATCATCTTATTTTTTCTTAAATTTTCTTATTTTGTTTTCAGATAATCATTGAGGGTGTCAGAGGTAATGGGTATGTAAGTGATATAGCTATAGATGATGTAGAACTTATTCCGAATTGTGAAAATGAAGAAGAATTTACGACAAACATGTGAGTGTAAATAACATAGATAAGTTTATTGACAATTTTTACATATTAAACACTACATGTCATGACACAATATAAATAAGTCACTTGTGTATACATAGGAAATAACTAAAAAATAATACAACACATAATATAACTTATATATAGTAAAAAGTAGAAATATAAAAAGAAAACAATTCACTAGGACTTCAAATAAACAAATTCATGTATACTATAGAAACCTATTCCAGCAAGAAGTGTTTTGCTAATTGATAAAAGATATGACCTTTGTTTCTTGTGTTGTACTGACGTTACAACAAACTTTTAACCAACTTTCAAATATATATATATATATATATATATATATATATATATATATATATATATATATATATATATATATATATATATATATTATATCAATGGTATTCCGGGTTTGACTCCGCGTTAAATGTTGTTGGTTTTGATAAAAACCATTTTGACGACGTTTCGGCAAGATCTCACTTGCCATTTTCAAGTCTCTCTGGATGGTCTGCTTCTTGTCGATGTTCGAGTGGAAGTCGGAACACTATATATATATATATATATATATATATATATATATATATATATATATATTGAACATAAAAGAAGAATACCGTACTTTTTAAACAAGGGTGTGAAGTTGGTGCGATATTCTGCTGAGTCAATAATTCGGATTGACGCATTTTGAAAAATGAAAATTCTATATGCATAGGACGAGTTTCCCCAAAGAAATATGCAATATGTCAGGATACCATAAACCATTCTAAAATAAACTGACCTAAGAATATCTTGACTCACAGAAATAGCCAATCTGAGAATGGCAAAAATCTGTGAGGCCAGGTTCTTATACAATTCATCAATACGGTGAGACAAGTTCAACCGTGTATCCATAGTAACACCTATAAAAAAAATATTAGTAACTTTCCTGGCTCAGATGGTTCAAACCATCTATTGGAACTAAATACTATTCTCTGGGTTTTCTGCTCATCAGTTTTACCTCTACATAATGAGTTTGTGCCATCTGCAAAAAGAACACAGTTGGTGTTTTTTAAAGCCCTTGGTAAATGATTATATATATATATATATATATATATATATATATATATATATATATATATATATATATATATATATATATATATATATATATAATGATATAATGATATAATGATATAATGATATAATGATATAATGATATAATGATTTATATATATATATATATATATATATATATATATATATATATATATATATATATATATATATATATATATATATATATTGTTATGATGATGTTTTGTTTGTGTATGAGCAATGAGTGTTTTAAAATAACATATAAGTATAGGGTTTTTATCGCGGTTCTCAAAGAATTAGTTTGTAAGTACTTTTTTAAATTATCTTTATTATAATTATTATGAAACACACATACACTGTGTCCGTAAAGTATGGAACAAATTATTCTTTTTTAGCTAAACAGAGCATTTTAAGAAACAATCCTGAAACACGTCGATTTTTGATTTTAATTTACTGTATTTTAAAATAATATTCTAATATACAGGGTGAATTACTTTCAAGTAATGACGTCACCGTCATTTTTTTTTAATGGAACACCCCCATTTTGCTTCAATTTTCTGATTACTCTAGCTGAGCTGATTCCAAAAATGTATCACATGTTGATTTAAATTGGTAAATGGTGAATAAAAATACAATAGTTTTGTGTGTGCTCATCGTCGTTTAATTCCTGCACAAGTTTGATTTTATAAGGATGCCATTTTTCAAGCTTTAATAGTTTGTGTACCGTTGTTTTGCTAACACCGATATCGCGACTAACTTTACGCACAGAAGTGTGCGCATCTTCTTCAAAACTAAGTAAATCATCTAATGGTGTATTAGCATTTGCAGAGGGTCAACTTGATTTCCGTGCATTTTCAACCGTACCAGTTTCTCGAAATTTATTTTCAATCTTACTGACTGTTGAACGCGTTATAGATTTTTCTGGATATTTATCATTAAACAAATTGCACACTTCCATCTGAGTTCGCAATCTGTCTCCATACGTAAGTATTTCAATTCTTTACTTTACACTTAACTCCATTTCTACTTCCAATTAAATCTAAGCAATAAGTAAAACATTCACAAATAGCAAAAATATTGTAGTACTAAACTGCCACTGAACATCAATAAATTACTAAACAAATAATGACATTTAACAAAAACATAATTTGCTATGTTTCTTTTAAATTGATAAGAAATAATTTCTTTCATATTCTGCCCGCTAGACAACTGGGTATGGAGACAGATCGCGAACTCAGATGAAACTGTGCAATTTGTTTAATGATAAATATCCAGAAAGACCTATAACGCGTTCAACAGTCAGTAAGATTGAAAAGAAATTTCGAGAAACTGGTACCGTTGAAAATGCACGGAAATCAGGTAGTCCGTCTGTAAATGCTGATACAGCATTAGATGTTTTACATAGTTTTGAAGAATATGCGCACACTTCTGTGCGTAAAGTTAGTCGCGATATCGGTGTTTGTACAACAACGGTACACGAACTATTAAAGCTTGAAAAATGGCATCCTTATAAAATCAAACTTGTGCAGGAATTAAACGAAGATGATCCCGATACAAGGATGCAATTTTGCAAAGCAATATTGGATAACTGCCACCGAGACCCTCTCTTGGTACAAAACATTATTTTTTCCACTTCTGGATGAGGCCACTTTCACGTTAAATGACGAGGGAAACCGTTAGAACTGTAGATACTGGGCAACAGAAAACCCCCACTGGATGCGTGAGCATCATACATAATACTCGCAAAAGGTAAATGTATGGGCTGCAATTGTAAGAACGAATCATCGGACCCTACTTTATCGAAGGTAATTTAAACGGGGCAACGTACCTTGAGTTTATAAGGGGGTATCTCTTACCTACTTTACGCAATGGTTGCAATAGGATGGTGCACGTCCACATTATGCTGTAGATGTTAGAAGGTACCTAGATGAATTTTTTCCGAACAGGTGGATTGGTAGACGTGGACCTATTGAATAACCAGCGAGGTCACCAGATTTCAATTCTTTGGATTATTTTATGTGGGGTTATCTGAAGAATGTTGTGTATCAAACGAAATCAGCAAATATTCAAGAATTACAACAGAGAATTCGGACAACAATAAACAATATTTCTCAAGACACAATAAACAAGGTTAGTCGTGTTCTAGTTCGCCTACGAATCGGACGTGCCTATCGACAAAGCGAAACGAAATAAATTGTATTTGTTTAAAAATTGTGTTTTATACATCTTAAAATTTGGTGTAAAAATAAAATTAGATTGTGAGTTAAGAACAATTAAATGGACCAGTTAGTCGGGGGGAAACCCCCAGACGACCCAGCGCCCCCAGATATACGTCAAAAAAATATAGTTTTTGGTGAAAGTGAATGTGTAAGTATGGATATCTCCACAGGTGCAGAGCTGACACCTCTTAATAAGAATACCATTTCCAACCAAGATCCCCAACCAGTAAGTAGAAATAATTTATTAATAAATCCAACCTCGTCAAAAAATAATATACAAACAACAACAATGAGCATTGATAACACGTCGAAAGAAAGAGAGGAGTTTTTGTATGTAAGTACTGATTTAGGCCCGTATCATATTTATATTGAGAATAATTCGGTCGAGTTTAAAGGTAAATTACAACCACTTAAAATCGGAGATATAATTCTTTCTAACTTTCCAGAGATAGACAATAAAATTATTAGTATTGATTCTATAGGTCGGAATAGGGTTAGGATCAAGTTAAAGGATTATTAATCAGCAAATTTTCTAATAAATAATAAAAACGAAAATATTTTTGTTAAAAATAACTTTGTATTGTATATCCCAAAATTCATTCTTTATAGACAAGGGGTTATTAGAGATATAGAAAAAGATTTTTCAGAGGCGTACATAAAAGATAAAATAAGACAATTTGATCAACATTGCACTTTTGAAGTATCTAATGTCAAAAGAATAAAACGTAAAGTAGAAAAAACTACGGATGAAGGTAAAATAGTAGAATATGTACCCACAAAGTCTTGCATTGTTAGTTTCAAATCACAAATCTTACCAAAATATATTTCTATTAATAAAGTTATCAAGGAAGTAGAGCCGTATAACCAGAAAGTATTGTTATGTTATAACTGCCTCCGTTTTGGTCACCTAGGGGGTCAGTGTCGAAGTAAACCAAGATGCAGCAAATGTCAGGAGTCCCATACCACACAAGATTGTAATAGTTCAGATTACACACCAAACTGCTTTAACTGTCAAGGAGAACATCTTACCACTAATTTGTCTGCTTGTCCAGAATTTAAAAGACAAAAAATTGTAAACGAAACCATGAGCTCTTGCAATATTAATTTCTTTGATGCAAATAAACAGGTCCCAAGAAATACGTACGCAAACATAGTCGCTCGTAATAAATCTGCCATGGAAAGTGGTCAAATATCCTCGACAAATTCGACCTACCCCTTCTAATACAATACAGTATCATTCCTCTCAACCTCAGTACTTACAGTCCCACAATTTACAACCCAAATCCTATAATAACAATTTTACTAAACATATGTTTTCTTCCCCTACAACTTCAAACCCAAACAAAAGGCACAGGCCAACCAGCCCTGATTCCATGGAAATTTCAAGAAAAGAAATACTTACACAACCAAATACCTCTCTTGTCTCAGGGGGAATTTTTAATAGTCAACATTATTTAAAAAAACTCAGTCGGAGTGTTCGATCCTAATTTTATGTTTAACCTTGAGTGGACCGTTTTTAGTTTAAAAACTCGTTTTTTATTTCACGCGGTAAAAAAGAGTAGGTTTGCACTGAAAACAGGTGAGTTACCATAGAGACGTAAAAACTAGCAACATCAGTCAGAAAAAATATATACATTGTCACATTTTTACGAAGTTTTACGTTTCGCTTAGCGTTGTTGGGTGCTGATACAAGTTTCGCAAATAAAT